GCTGCGGCCGGCGCACGCGCTGATCCGATGGCAGGAGCCAGGAGCCAGGTGCTTCTCCTGGTCTCCCATGGGGTGCAGGGCCCAAGCACCTGGGCCATCCTCCACTGCACTCCCTGGCCACAGCAGAGAGCTGGCCTGGAAGAGGGGCAACCGGGACAGAATCCGGCGCCCCAACCGGGACTAGAACCCGGTGTGCTGGCGCCGCTAGGTGGAGGATTAGCCTAGTGAGCCACGGCGCCGGCCTTCTTTAATTATTTTTAAAGATTTTCATTTATCTATTTGAAAGGCAGAGACACAGAGAGAGGTCTTCCATCTGCTGGTTCACTCCCCAAATGGTCTCAATGGGCAGAGCTGGACCGATCCGAAGCCAGGAGCTTCTTTTGGGTGTCCCACACGGGTGCAGGGGCCCAAAGACTTGGGCCATCCTCTGCTGCTTTCCCAGGCACATTAGCAGGAAGGTGGATCATAAGTGGAGCAGCTGGGACTCCATTTCTGGCACTCATATGGGAGGCAGGCACTGCAGGCTGCTGCATTACAGGCGGTAGCCTTACCTGCTAAGCCACACTACAGGCCCCACTGTTTTGTTTTGCTAAATAACAAAATCATTATTTGAAGAAACAGTGGCATGGACTTCTTTCACAGGTCACCGTGGAGCCAGTGACCACTTATTTATATTGCACTGACCCCAAGTTAGACTTTCCCAGGGACATCCGTCATGTACTTGTAAATAAAATACAAATATATATAAAAAAAAAGAATAGCTCAAAATTATCTGCAAGCTCAAAGACAGACAATTAAAAAATGCAAGTCAGAGGAGAAAAATGGAAAAAAAGGATCAATAGGGGTAAATAAGATTCATGGGAACTTAGAAAAAGCGGAAAATAGCTTATGTCAGTGTAACTGGAGTTCAATAGCAACTTGAAAATAATCAAGGGGTGAAAGCATATTCAAAGGCATAGTAAGGGGAAAAACCGACATTTACAATAAGAACAACTACCCAGGTATAGGAAGGTCAGAGGTCAACAGTCGGATTCAACTCAACCATACTTACTCCAAGGTAATAAAATTAAGCTCTCCAAGATTAAAGACAAGGAGAAGCTGTCCCAGTTTGCCTGACTCAGACTTAGCAGAAGAAACCTTACAGGCCCATAGAAACCTAACAAGGCAAAAGAATTAAAAATTATCAATGCAGTAATATGCTAAGAAACAGGCAATATACAAAGATTGAAGGGCAGACACTTAGTCTGGCAGTCAAGATACTGGTTAAGATTCCTGAACCTCTTATCAGAATACCTGCATTCAAGACCTGGCTTCAGCTTCTGATTCCAGATTCTTGCTAATGCAGACACAGGGAGAAAGTAGTGATGGTTTAAGTAACTGAGTTCCTGCCACCCATGTGGGAGACCTGGACTGAGCTCCTGGGTCCCAGCTTCGGCTCAGTCCAGTCCTAACCACTGTGGGCATTCAGGAAGTTAACCAGCAGATGGGAACTCTCTCTTTCTCTCAAATAAATATGTTTAAATGTAAAAGAGGAATCAGAAATTCAAAATGTAAAAATAAACTTTAAAAATATTCAAAATACAAATATTAGTTTCTAGTATTTCCCATCTCTTTCCTTTTGTTTTCCCCTCTTTATTTACAATCAATGTTTCAGCTCTCATAATGCAAACAATGTCCCTTTTCCAGTTTATTTGGCACCATGATTTTCAAACTTTTGTGATTTTTTTTTTATTTCACTGTATAATATGGCTACTAAGGATAGTGCTGCAGGCTGTGGCTCAACAATCCTGTGATATGCATTCCAGAGAAAATACCTAAGTTTCATTCAAGATTCAAGCATGAATTAAACTGCTGTTGTCTGTGACCTCAATGTTAGTGAACTGACAATGTATATTTAAACAGAAGCACTATAAACAAAGGATGTGTACTCATCATGTTTTAATTTTTTGTACAGGTTGTAGACATTCGTGTTCTTTGATATCCTGTGTTTGAACACCTTTTGTGTGAGTTTTCCACCTTACGAGTTTTGTTATGAAAGTATCATCAGAGGCTCACAAGAACCTAATCCTGTATCTGCTCCACAAGTAGGAATTCAGTATTCACGATATCAATGTTTGCACTGACTTTATCAAATCTAAGTACTGGGAGAATGAGACCTTAGTATATATATGAGAATACTTCAGAAAGTCCACAGGAAAAATGAATTAAAAGAGTAGCCTATTTTGGTACAATAAATTTTTGAAATACATGCATTGTATTTTCACAACATGAACTTTTAAAATATCTTCAAATGTGTTTTTATACCTAAATATATGTTTATACCTGTAATGTGTAAATCTGTTTGTATGTATTAAGTAAACTCAGAATTAAAAGCTCCATTTGATTTAAAAAAAAAAAAGAAGGAAATTAAGTAGACAACTGACATGCTGAGAAGGCTGAGGAAACATTTTTACAAACGGCAGGAACAAGAACGTCCAGTCAGCTGTGGTATCATGTCAAAATCATTGTATAATTAATCATATAATGACATCACTTCTGGAACTAGTGAACGCTGGCCACCACTGACAGCATCAGCTCCAATGCTAGATTTCACTAGCATCACTGCCCACGAAAACTCAATCCTACTGCAGCTTCTACAACCCAAGATCCATCCCTACCATTAGAACCACTGAGACCTGATAGAATCCATTACAACACTGGGCCTGAGGTGCTGTACAGGAAAGGCCCCCACCAGGGACATCCCAAACGGCTAAGAAGCTGCACTCTAAACTCACAGGGAGCCTGTCTCTGTGTCCCCACCTACTTCATATGGATCCCTGTGTTGCTCTGTACCTCTCACAACAAGCAACTTATGAAGGGACTCTGCCTGCTACTCAACTGAATGAAGCTTGGCTTCAAAACCCTGTCCTCTCTACCGGCAGGCTCAACTCCACTCTTTTTATCCCCCACTCTGTCCGCCGTAAAATGAAGTCTTATCTACTGTTCCTGGACTCTTCACCATCTTTGAACCCCCAAATCATAAAACCTAACACCTATTTCCTTGGGTCACTAGCTTCTGTTTCAACGTATAGGACACTTACATCACTAGCTGCAAAACAGACTGGGAAGCAATTATTTGGGGATAGTTTTAGCTTCAATACTGGCAGATGGCTTGAACCTACCACAAAAACTCTTAAGGTGGAAAACCCACACAAAAGGTGTTCAAACACAGGTTATCAAAGAACACGAATGTCTGCAACCTGTACAAAAAATTAAAACAGGTAATGATCCACAATTCATTTTTATTTGACCATGTCCTTATACTTCTGTTTTATGGTTTGTTTAGGCTAAAATGAAAATACAGCATTGATGTATATTCCCTAAGCAATTGTGGAAACTAGCTAGAACTTTATGACTAACAAAATATATCATAGCAGTATTCTTGCAGTAGGGTGGATGAATACTGTACTCACTGAGGCTAGTGACCAGGCACTGGTCTCCTTTGAGGAGAGGAGATGAATGTGAGACTATGCCAACAGGGCACAACAAACCTCCCTTCTAATAAACAAAAAAGAAATCTTTACCACATCCAACTTGGGTGCAACCTTGGATACTCCCTTCACCCTGGAGCATGGAACTCAGCTCCCTGGCCATGCCTTCCACACATCTCTGGGTATGCACTGAAAAAGCCAACACTCCACTAAGCCACAGAGGAACAGTCCAAAGAAAAAGTCATCACAGGGTAAAAGCAAAACAAAATAACAACAACAAAAAAAGAAGATCTATACAAATGCCAAGTCGTAAACAGCAACTAAAGAAACAAAAATTAGGAAGAAAACATAACAACAACTCCAAAAACAATACAACACCTCAATACTAGAATGTGAAGATGAAGAAATGGCAGAAATGGAATTCAAAAAAATTATTGTAGGATTACTTAGCAGTAATCGGAAGCAAATCCATGAACTAATGAAATGTTTACATGACATGAAAGAATCTGTCCCATGAAACTGAGATCTTAAACAGAAATCAAAATGAAATCTTGGAAATGAAGAATTCAATAAAACAAATAAAGAATGCAGTAGAAAGCATTAACAACAGACTCAGTGAAGCAGAAGAAAGAATATCCGAGTTAAAACACAAATCTCTGGAAATTTTACAGTCAGACCAAAAATGAAAAGAAATTAGAAAACTAAAGAACACTGTTACAGATCTACAGGATACTATCTAACGACGCAACATACGGGTTTTAGGAATTCCTGAAGATGTAAAAAGAGAGAATGGATTAGAAGGCTTTTTTAGTGAAATAATTACAGAAAAATTACCCAATTTGGGGAAACAAAGTGCCATCCAAACATAGGAAGCACATAAAACTCCTACTAGACATGAGTTAAAAGATCTTCACCACAACACATTGTACTCAGGCTCTCCACAGTAAAACACAAAGAAAAGATTCTAAAATGTACACAAAAGAAACATCAGATTCCTTTCGGAGGATCTCCAATTAGACTCACAGCAGACTTCTCATCAGAAACCCTACAGGGTAGGAGAGAATGGCAAGAAATATTCTAACTCTTAAGAGAAAAAAAATTGATAACCCAGAATACTGGACCCTTCAAAGTTCTCATTTATGAATGAAGGTGAAATAAAGACTTTCCATAACACAGAAACGGAAAGAATTTGCCATTACCTGTCCAGCCTTACAAAAGATGCTCAAATATATGCTACACACAGAAACAAAGAAACATGGTCATCACTACGAAAGAAGGTGAAGGCAGAAAATCTCCCAGTAAAAGTACAAAGGAAATCCAATGTAAAAAACAGGAATACCTATGGAAAAATAAAACAGCCAAGTTGTTATTTATTAATTGTCACCTTAAATGTAAATGGCCTCAACTCTCCAGTTAAAAGACACAGACTGGCTGAATGGATTAAAAAACAAAACCCATCTATTTGCTGCCTACAAGAAACACATCTTACTAACAATGATACCCCAAACTGAAATGGAAAGGATAGACGAGGATATTCAATGCTAGCAGAAACCATAAAAGAGCTGGTGTAGCCATCCTCATATCAGACAAAACAAAATTTAACACAGAAACAGTTAAAATAAAGAAGGGCACTATGCAATGATTAAGGGATCAATTCAACAGGAAGATGTGACTATAATAATGTATCTGCACCTAATTACAGGGCACCTGGCTATTTAAAATAAATGTTAACAGATCTAAAGGGAGACACAGAATCCCATAGAATAGTACTGGGGGACTTCAATACCCACTGTCAGCAATGGGCAGATTAACCAGACAGAAAATTGACAAGGAAACAACAGAGTTAACTGACACTATAGACCAAATGGTCTTAAAGATATCTTCAAATCTTTCTATCCTACAGTCGCAGAATACACATTCTTCTCATCAGTGCACAGAACTTTCTCTAGGATTGGCCACATGCTAGGACATAAACCAAGTCTCGATAAATTAAAAAAAAAAAAAAAAGCATACTACGCATCTTCTCTGACCATAATGGAATGAAGCTGGAAATACCAACTCAGGAATCTCTAGAACATATGGAAACACAGGGAGAATGAACAACATGCTCCTGGATGAACAATGTAAAGAAATCAAAGAGACATCAAAAAATTTCTGGAAACAAATGAAGGTAACAATATAACATATCAACACTTAGGGGAGACAGCAAAAGCAGTGTTACGAGGAAAGTTTATGGCAACTGGTGCCTACATCAAGAAATTGCAAAGGCACCAAATAAATGAGCTATTAATGCAACTCAAGGACCTAGAAAAACAGTAAACCAAACCCAAAACTAGTAGGAAAAAAGAAATAACTAAAAGTAGAGAAAAAATAGACAAAATTGAAATACAAAAGATCAACAAAATGAACAGCTGTTTTTTTGAGAAAATAAACAAAACTGACACACCATTGGCCCAACTAACCAAAAAAAAAAAACGAAGAAGACCCAAATCAATAAAATTAGAGATAAAAAAGGAATTGTAAAAACAGACACCACAGAAACAAAAAGATTCATCAGAAATACTACACAGAGCTGTATGCCAACAAACTGGGAAATACAGAAGCAATGGGTAGACTCCTGAACACATGCAACATACCTACATAGAGCCATGAAGACATAGAAAACCTAAACAAAACCACAACCAAGATAGGAACTGAATTAGTAATAAAGATCCTCCAAAGAAAGAAATCCCAGGACCACATGGCTTCACTGCTAAATTCTACCAGACATTTAAAAAACTAACTCCAATTCTTCTCAAGCTATTCAAAACCACTGAAAGGGAGAGAATCCTCCCAAATTTTTTTCTATGAAGCCAGCATTAACTTAATTCCTAAACCAGAAAAACAACAGAGAAACAGAACTACAGACCAATTTCCATGATGAACAAAGAAGCAAAATCC